TCCCTTTTTTGCACCTGGAGAGACATCTGCACACCTTTTTCCAGAGATCCTTCCTGCCTTACTCATCCCCACCAGCCCCCTGTCGGGTCTCCTTATTATGGTGGTTACCATGTGAGCTGAGATAACAGCGGGGCCAAATCCAATTTATGCATGCATCTGCATATAAGCAGACATAGGTAATGCGCTCAGCACCATTCATGGTTTTTACCGACTCCAGATGGGGCCGCTTGGTGAAGAGTGACTCATGGGTGAGTTTTCTGCTTCGAGGCCAACAAAGCTTTTGTTGTTTTTGGATGAACACAGCAGGAAGCCGGAGTTTCCTCTGTTGCTGGCGCTGCTCACGTTAAAAATAACAACCACTGCCCACAAATGAAATCAAACTCACATGATCATAAAACTGAGAATAATGGCTTGGGGAAAAACAAAGAACCCTCATAATGTAGTTATTAATTACTATAATAAGACAAAAATCCAATTAAGATTGTAAACATGTGGGTTTGCAATTTGGAGCTTTGAGCATTGACATTCCTCTTCATGCTGAAGTGTAGCTGTAGCTTAACAAGTCAGTGGTGCAATTTTCACATCAACAAAAGGACATTTTTATAGAGTATATTGTCACATAAAGCCCAGGCTACTAAAACAAACATACTTTCTGGAGCTTAATAAAAACTCAGCCGTCATGAAACAGAAAGGCCTTGTTGGTATTAGCGCCACGTTAATTAAATTTGCATGCATCGTAGCAAGTAGGTCAACAAACTGATAGTCGGTTGTAATTTACTAATACAAATATTAAACTCAACGCGTCACGTTGTAGCTATGTTAACACAGAAGTCAAACTACGAAGATTATTCTTTGTACTTTTAGAAAGTACACTTGCCATTTAAAACATTACCTGATGCTAAATTAGCAGCATTAAATAAGTAAACGTTAGCAGTGAATGTGGAGCAGTTAAAATAAACTACAAAACATAAAAGTGGCACTGAGATAGAAATAAAGAAACCCTCCAGGAAAGTTCATTAGCAAATGTAAAAACCTCTGACCTGTTTTGTGGTCCTTGTGGTTTTTTTTCATCAGATGCCATTTATATGTGTATAATGTATATATATATATATTTCTCATTAGACGTAGAAGTTGACAGGAGTCTGTCAAAAATCTCCTGGGCCTCTGCTGCTTTTCCTTTTCCTCCATGTTTCTGTTCTCTGTCTGGTAAAATGCTTAGAGAATCTTGTGGATTTCTTTCAATGTCACAATTATGCACAGGATTGGGCATGCACGTAACGTTATTCAGAGTTTTATTTGCAAATACAGCTGTACAGCATGCATCTTTCTTCTTGCTCTTCACAGCTGCACGCTACTTTTCCAGTCTATTGTAAGACACTGCATCCCAATGCGACACAGTTTAAATTGCAAGTGCCACGTGGCAAAATGAAAATGACTCCTGTGGCCAACAGTTTATGGCTTTTTGCCACATTTGCATCTATATTTTGACAAGAAACAGATTTTTGCAGCCATAGTTTGCAAGACGTATTTTTAATGGCACAGGCACGATTACTAGGGAGGTAACCACCTTGCCTGCAGGCATTTGGACATGCTGCTGCTTTTCATTTGTGTGCCACTGCTTATGCTTATGTCTCTGGAGATCGACTGTTGACATTTGTAATTTGTTGCCCTGGTATTGCCCTAACAACTGCCACACCAGCCTGGCATCCGTTTATAGAAGTTATCCTCTTCGCCGCCCTCTCTGACTCCTCTCATTTTTCACCTCCTGGAAAGCCAAGGGCCTCTTCGGGGTGTTGGTGGCTCTCTGGGTTACATTAAGCAGCAGGCGGCTGTCTCTGTCTCTCATCATCTGTATGCTGCTGTGCAACCTGACACCAGCAGCTGCCTATTTGAGGACATTATAAAACAATATGCCTCCCCATTTTTTAAAAAATTAATGTAAGAACAAATTCAAGCTTTTGATTCAAAACTGAATTATAATGCGGATGTCGTGGATCACATCATGCCATGAATGCAATGCATGTACACAGCGATGAAGTGAATGAAGCTCCTTTCCTTTTTGGGTGAAAAACATGCTGGTTCTCTCCCGCTGTGACAGTTGTTACAGAAGATTGGATTAGCGCTCTGCGGGCTTGTTGGGGCTTGTGAGGATGTGTAGCAGAGATGGTTCCAAATTATTCTGAATGAGTGTGCAGGTCTCCTGATTTATTTGTGGTGTCAAACCGGGTGGTTGAAGGTAAGGAAGTGTTTAGATTTGGTTTTACGACGGATCGCACAGCCAGGGGGGGGGCCGTTGATCAGAGGAGCAGTCGACAGGCTGAGGGTAACTCTGGAGGAGCAGCAGAGATCCACAACTCAGGTGGAATAAACTGCTGATGTGACAACTATTAGTCATGTACTCTACAAATCTTTAGGAAGCAAGAAAAAAAAGTAAAAAGTCATAGTTGAAAGTGAGTGAAATTTGCAGTTTTCATGAAGCGAGATAAGAACTTAGTCTGACCAACATGCAAAATGCCATGCAGCAAACTAGCAGTCCAACTTCTATGTTGAAGCAAGGAGTGAATGAATGAATTAATCAAATGGATTGGGAAATGGGGAAACTGGGCAAAACTGATGGGAAAACTGATTGAAAATTGACGACAGGACAATTCTTGAAAAAAACTTGTTTGAGACTGCCAAACATTTTAGACTGAGATTCACCATCCAGAAGAACATAAACCACAGTCATCTAAAATTTACTGAGAAACTGTAGCTTGACTCTATTGTATATGTTCACAGAAATTTTCATTGATTCTGAGAAAACAGTTTCAAAAAGGCCCAACGTTTCAGTGTAGGTCTAGGTGTGATTCAAACATACCTTGCACATCTTCACATACTTCCAATGTGCATGGAGAGGGATAAAGATCCAGTGTGGTGAAATCTCCAGTAACGATTGAAACACAGAGGAAACAACTTTACTAACAGACAATATGCTGAAATGTGTTGGTATGTTAAGAACGTTGGGTTCTCAGAGCTTCAAGTGTTGTTGGATCCTTTAGTTGTGCAAAAATGGCACAGAGAATTGGAGCGCCCTTTTGCTTCTACTTTAAAAATATGCAGAACTTCATGTTACATAGAAATCCTAGTAGTATAAATCAAAGTTTGTAGATAGAACAAAGTTTGGTAACCCTTGGATATTTGTGTGTGTGTGTGTGTTTCTGTGTATTTCTGGCATGGTGATGGAATCCCACACACATGTTTGACAGGATGTGCTGTTTGGGTCGAGGGTGTGTCTGGACCAACATTCTCCTCATGTTTCCATCTTCAGCTATTTGCAGATTGAATAACAGTACAGTAGTGACACTGCTACCATTCACACTGTGTGCTCGCAACTACGGGGTTGACATGTTAGTGCAACACTGACCTCTGGTGGAGGAAGTTAGGTTTTGTGGGTGAAGGGGAACATTAACTACAGATGCTCCAGATAGTTTTCCATCTGAATAGGGAGATATGGCAGCATTATGGGAATGTCTGTAATCTTAAAAGATGAAAGACTCAACTTTCCTGTGCTATCTGTGTAAGCCAGATGTGGCCACTGATGATAACACCTTTTCTTTTTTTTATTGTGTAGATTTCATTATTTGCTCAGTTCAGCTCCATTTAAATCAATGTAGTGTAACTTGAATCTCAGACTAAATGTTGTAGTACAGTCAATACTTACTCAGAATCACCGTTCTGGTTTGTGTGCTTGTGGTCCGAAGTCAACAAAACGTGCAAACTCTGACACCAATGTAAGCAGCACGCTCGCAGTGAGTTCAAGACACCGAAAATCTTAAGTAAACACAGATAAATCTTAGGCATGAGGGCAGCTATTGCAGGGACTATTAACTCCATACTGCTCCATTAAAATGCAATAAATTAACTGCAACATAAACCCAAATTATATATATAAAAACAATATTTGTCTCAATTTCTTTCAATACTGAAAGTGTTTTTTTTTCTTTATTCCTACACTAGATGTCGGGTATGCTTTTACTTAAAACCTACAGCTCCAGCACATTTATTGGCTTCCATGACAACCTTTAAAATAAAAACAAACTTGTGTTGCAGAAGCTATTATTAACAGAATAGAACAGAACATAATTATTTTTTATTTAAAACAGTGGCATACAGCAAGTCCATGCACTCCAAAAGGTTTCATGATGCACCCAGGATAGAAACAGTCGCACAGCATCACAGATCCTCCACCGTGCTTTCCATATATTAATCCTGGATTGTTTCGTGCTAAAAAGCTCGATTGCGAGTAATAAAGGCTCCTTTTGGTGGTTGTTTTTGCACCACATTTATGAGTCTGGTGTAGCTGCAATAGGCCTGGGGTCAAACTTAAACCAATGCATGAGGAATCAGAACCAGAGGTGCTTGTACATCATCAGTTTTGGTTAGATTTGCTTGGGAGCTGCAGATAATCCCGCTGCATTCTCGACATACATTCATTGACGTACACACATGCAAACATCCCCCAGCCCTCACCTTCTGTCCGCTTCTTCCCACCTCCTCCCCCTACACACAGACACTCATTCATGCAGCCATTAAGTCATTAGGGAATTCATTTATTGATGTCTGCCTCCAGAGTGTCCACTCGCCGCCTGTGTGAACGTGCCCTGGTTGTATTAGTTCAAAGTGGGCTTCTGGATCCTCTACAGCTTTTTTTTTTCTTTTTCTCCACTCCTGACACAGTAAGATAAGCAGATATTCATTCTAATGTGTGTTCGTAGGCTGCAAAAAAACCTTGCGGGACACGGTGGTTAGCCATGTGATCTTGATAGGACGCGGATGATTTGAGCTGTCTATTTGAAGAAAAAAAAAGAGTAGTTTTGCAGAAAGAAAGGGAGGGAGATATGGAGGGAAGGAGAAAAAAGGGGGGAGGGAAGGCTGTGAGCTAGAAGAGGGAAAGAGCGAGAGGGAGGTGGGTGGCTGGTGGGTGTCATTCCAAGCTCTGGAAGTTGAGAAGAAGGAGAAGAGGAAAAATAAGTTGCTGCTTTAAGAGAGAGGGGAGATAGAGGGAGATCAAGCAGCTCAACTCTTGTTGTTCTTTTTTTTCTTTTTCCGTTTAACCTCCCCTCCTCTCAGTTGAACGGGCTCCTAATTTGGGATTTGTTTAAAAGCGGGACTGCGGCTCAGGAAGACTTTTCCTTGCTGGGGTAAAAGGGAACCCTGCTCCCTGTCTTTTTCTCTCTCTCTCTCCCTCTCCCACGCACGCATACACACGTTCTCCCCCAAAAATGTCTGATTCCACTGTCAACGCTCACTTGGAAGGGATCATATCAGACTTCGAAGGTCAGTGTCTTTCTTGTTGTCTTTTCTCCCCTCTGCTTCTCCTGCAGAGAAGCTTTCTCTGTAACCCTGCCATGAGGACACTATAGATAGCTTCCACATGTTGTACTGGAACCAGGCAGATCTGGAAAACTGAAGAGGGCTTGTTGACGTCTGCGTTGAGGTGTGGTGTTTTGAAAGGGAAATGGTGCTTAAAAGTGTTGCCTTTTCACTCTCCCTCTTTCAGAATCGGTGAAAGCGGGTTTGCTTTTCGGGTCTCTCGCGGGTCAGAGACCGTGCAACCAGAGGAAAATGTGCATCCGAAAGACAAAATGATGCTGTATTTTGTGTTCGGCGTGAAACGTACGGCTGTGAGGTGAACACCTGGATCACGTCTTTCCTTTTCATCTCTTGGATTCCCCCTGTCATCTCTCCCCTCCCACCCCTTTTTCCTCCTCCTCCGCCTCCTCGTCCTCTTGCTGCGCTTCCACTTTTCCTCCCTCAGCGGCTCGTCCATCCACACCCCCCCTTTGGCGTGTCATTGGTGGATGTGAGGGGAAGAGAGGGAGCAGGGGGTGGGGGGAAGTTGACAGGCTGACACCTTCTCCCCCCCCCCCTCCCCCCGAACCTGTCTTTCTTTCCATCTGTCTCCCACAAACATATAGCCATTAGGAACACATCTGCACACGTCCAGGGCTGCTGGTCTGTCAACACCAGCGTGCCGGCGGTATGTACGGGGAACCTATCTGCCTCTCTCCCTGTCTTTTGCATCTCTAAGCCTGTGGATTACATAGTGCAGTCGTGCAGAAAGATAAGTGGCGTTCAGAAAACACAGGTTTCGGGAGGGTGAAGAAGTTTGCTTGTGGCGCTGAGTCGTGTTTTCTGATGCTCCTCACTCATGTGGAGCACCAGCATAATGGGCCACTGTTGGGGTTTTAAACAATGTGTGTCGCAGCAGGTTGGGCTGGATTGTTAGGAAATAAGTCACCAACATGGACAATCAAGAATGGAGAGCAGAGCTGACAACGGTATGAGGAGAAATGTAGGTTTTTATAGGTAACATGTTTGGGTTGGTAACACTGTCACTTTACAGCACGGAGGTCCTGGGTTGGAGTCTTGCTCACGGCTACTTCCTCCCAAAGTCCCAAAGCATTACTTTCAGGTTCATTTGTTAAGGTATGAGTGTGTGTGCATGGTTGTTTGTCTTGTGTCTTTCTTTGTTGTCCTGTGATGGTCTGCCACCCTGTCCAGCGTGTAACCCCGCCCGTCCAGTAACCACTGGAGATAGGCACCGGTCAACCCCCACCCAAACAGAAGGAGCTCTTCAATTAAGAGAAACTCAGACAGGAACTTCAGTTTTAGCCTGGCCATGTTTTGTTACAGTTCAGAGCTTATACAGGTAAACAGGAAGAAAAAAAAAAAAACAGAAACAGAAACAGAAAACCCATTTGTTGTGCAACCACAAGATAACGTGTGTTTTTTTTAATAGATGCTTCCTTCTACAATTAGCATACAAATGGGTGGTGTTTCCAAAGAAATAGCAACAATAAATGACTCGCCCTTATAATTAAAGCTGATAATAGCAATGTAATTGCCATTGGTTCCTGAAAAGGGTTATTAAGTAATTAGGGATATATTAATTTCACTTTTGAAATGTCCTTGTTCCTTTTAGGCATCTAGCAGTGACACAGAGTATCACATTTCCTGTTAAATCTTTGCCAATTATGCAAGACAGAACAAAACATCGAGTGAGCTTTATCAAAGGACGTCAGAGTAATCACATGTCACGCTGCAGCAGTGATTTCATGCTAGAACAGCTAGTGGGTGTGGTTGTGTAAAACAAAGAATCTGTCAATGGGGATCAAAGCCTGATCACGAGGTTTGAAATGGAAACCTAAATATTATTTCAGGTTAAATATGTTCTTGCTGATTCCTGAGTTGGTTCCAGGTCACTGCAGGTGTTGCAGTCACACTGCAGGTAGATAAACATATTTGGAAAACGAAGCCATTGCAGAAAAACTACAGAACAGCATTTATGTTTACTATGTCACTGTTGCAAAGCATGCAGAGTGTCATCACTTCCTCCGCTGTGTTAAAGCTGAAATGAGCAGAAAACAACACCTTCTTGCCCAGGAGGCTATTGACCTCAGATATGGCCTCAGTTTCTAAACTACACAGATTATTGACCGAATGACGGAACTTCCTGATCAGCAGAAACACAAGGATGCTCTCAAATCATTGTTTTAGTTTTATGGAAGCTCATCGGAGTTTTGAAATACATGCAAACAAGATTGTTTAAAACATTTTCGCAGTTCGGTGAGAACTCCTCTATTCCTCAGGAGTGAATTTCTGATCACGCAGAAATCCCTCGGTCATTTGAGTTAAACTAACAAACTAATTTCCATTAAATTCATATTAGGAATGTTTAAGATATTGATCAATTCAATAAAATATTCTGTGGAATGAAACTTACTTGAGGGGATTGTTGTGGAACTTCAGAAAGTCAGATGCCTTAAAAAAAGAAAATTGCTACTTTAAGCTGACTGCCACTTAACTGTAACAATGTTTATTTCACAAATACAATTTTTTTTAAGTAACAAGGTGAATGAGTGTCATTAAGAAGCAACAGGCCTATATATGGTCGACATGCTTCAGATCTAGGCAGCAGTGTTCAGACTCAGCGCTGGCCCAGAGTGCATGAGGGAGGAAGTGCCTCCTCACAGAAGATTTTTCTCAGGAGTCTCCTTCCTTATCGGCCCAATCAGACCTCAGTAGACCCTCCAGCAAGGACAGGCTTCCTGCTAATGACGCAACTGTGGTGGTGCTGCAGGGAAGTACCGGAGGTCACTGTTCACAGAGAACACAGCAGGGCTTTGTTGAGCTTTTACTGAGTAAGAATATACGCAGAAGGTAGTCAAGTCATCAGCAGGGTTTAGTCATGGTTAAAAACAACTAATATGGTAAGAAAGGTTTTGCGTCGTACCCTGAGTGAAGAGCTACTTGTAGCTTTTTATTCTACAAGGAATGGAAAATGTGTTTGACAAGAGTAGCAGAGATTTGGCCTTAGAGACGGCTTAAACTTTGAGTGTAAAACTCAATAGTATCCATCACCATTTTTTTAAATGCAAAACAGAAAACATACTCATTCAGACTCAAGTTAAGTGATACAGAACATCTGCAATTTTAGATGACCTTTTACAAATACTTAAAGTGCTAAGTTAGTTAAAGTTTTATGGCAAGTTTAACTCAGTTATGGTTGTAAAACATTGATGTTTTCCAGAGAAAGATTTCAGAAACACTTAAAAGCAAATATAGTTGCTAATTAGATGATATTTTTGATTTTGTTTCTCATTTGTTTTATTCTGGAAGACAAATGTGACAGAGAATGAGACAGCAGACTGTACTTTGAAGAAGAAGAAACCAGTACAAGCTGACATTAAAAAAATAAGCTCAACAATCGTGTGACCAGTTTGTAAAATAACAAACTTTTATGCTTTGCTCTTGTGCATGGAAAGTTAATTCTTCTGTCTGTTGCATTGCGGTTACGATTAGAAACTTCAGCCGTTTATTTAGGAGCTTATTCCACATGCACACATTTTTGCATTATTTGGAAACAATTTGCGTTATCAGAATCAAACATGTTCCTTTAAGCAATATTCCCAAAACTTCTTGAAACTGACATGAGAGCAAAGAAACAGCCAGGGATTAAAGTGACACACACTCCATGATTGATTTCAGATAACGTCACAATAAAGGCTGCCCTGTATTTTATCAGCTAAATGGTTTTAATGCGAAGCAGCTGCTGTGCAAAATATTACTTTTTTTTTTCTTAGCAGTAACCTAACGCAGCACTAACCATGTGGCCTGACATTAAGAAATAAAACTACCAGTTGCTTGAAGTTCCTCATGCATGTAAAGGGAATTTGACTCGAATGTGCAGGCGAACTACATAAAAATTACTACTAAAAGGATTCTGAAAGTGTAGATCTTTGAAACTGATTGAGATTAATGGCTTTACACACTCTTGTTCAGCAAAGCCACAGAAGACGAACCAGGCCTCATCTACTGTCATGCTCAGAGAGGCGGAGAGAATGTGCTGCTCGGCCAGTGCATGCTACACTTGCAGAGGCCACATCATGTGATTCTCTTTGGCAGTTTGACTCTGTTTCAATTGAAAACACAGACTCAACTCATGCCGCTGCAAGTGTTAGTCCAAAAACATTACGCTTCGCTCTGCGCCTGCCTTATTTGGTGTCCAGTCCGTTCGCAGCAACTCTGTTTAGAGTCCAAGATTAATTGGGTTGAAAAACTGACTTCAGTTCCAGGTGCAACGGAATTTAGTTTTCTTTATTAGTAATATCTGTGCTTGGATGCGTTGCGTCCTACCACCAGCATTTAGTAACACGAGAACTTCCACAAAATTCTACGCAATTTTGTGCACCAAAAAACAAAATTGCATGAAATAAATGGCCAGTTACCGATTGATTAATTATTTACCAAATTAATTGTCGTCAATATTAATTCCTTATACAAGCATGTCCCATGATGCAGTGACGTTAGCAGAGGCAAAGGGTTTGGCCCCAGCAGGGAAAGGAAAACATACTGTGTTTGCTCTTCTCTCCAGCTGTGTTTAAGCACACACACCCACCCACGCGCACACGCACACACACACACACACATACAGAGAGAGAGGGAGAGAGACAGTAACACTTCTGACAAGACCTCTGTCTCCACTGTGTCTGTGAAGACGTCACAACATGAGCCCTGTCACCAGTCACAGAGCGCAGTTTTATTGCAAACAGGTCATTATGTATTACCTAAAAGTCAAACACAGTTTTAAATATCATGGGCTCCCATGTCTGTCATGGTTCAGCCTCACAGCCCACACATCTGAGGACATGACAAGTGACGGCTGAGATGACCAAACATTTGTTCAGGGGAGGAAAGGCTGTTGAGAGATCTCTCTTATATTGTTTGTTTTATCAATGAAAACCAGAAAGGTTTTTGTAGGGCTTGGTATTCAGTCCCTGTCAATCTAAACTAACACCCCTAAATAAAATTACATTTTTAGAAATCACCTAATTGGTCATTTTCAGCAAAGGCCTCCGAGGTTTACTAGAGCAAATTAGTGAATAAACAGCATCATGAAGACCAAGTATCACAGCAGAAAGGCCAAGGGTAGAATTGTTGAGAAGTTTTAAGAAAAAAACGTTTAGGTCATAAAACAATATTCCAGGCTTGCAACATCACAGTCCAATGGTAATGCCTTGGTAGATTTACAGTTTCCATTACAAGATGATGGATTAAGCACTAATCTTTCTGTAGTACCATGTTCAAGGCTCGAGATATTGTTTTACAATCTTCTGGAAGCAGCTGGTTCCACTGGTGCCTGATTGTGTTCAGGTGTAGCAGCGTAAGAGAGGCTGAATATATACCCAAGTTGCACTTTTTCAGATGATCATTTCAGTAAACATCTAAAAATTATGTATCGTTATTCCTCAACCTAACAAGTATGCACTACTTTGACATGCTCAATCACATGTCTGACTAAAATACCAAAGCTTGTGGGTTCAGGGTGCATGAATACTTTCACAAGGGACTGTGTGCCATTTAAGAGTTTCTATTTGTTTAAAAGCAACTTTTAGTCGAGTCAGTCCTCCATATGAGAGAGATTTAAAGCTTGCTACAGTATATTAACTGTTTGCATTATGCTTCATTTACCCTCATATCTAAAAAGAAGTACTTTCTTCTCTTACCAGTATGTTCGATGAGTTTTAGATGACCTTTGTGACCTGCTATGTGATTTGTGCACTATACTTGAAGACAGATTGTGAATGCTGGCCCTGCTCCAGATAAATATTCTCAATACTACTCCCATAGCCGTAACTGGTTTTACATGGAGTATTGAGGCTAGTTTTGACAAATTATTCTTATTCATTAAAAAGAATGGTCATTCTAGATATGTTTGGGGAAAAGGTGGAAAGGGTTTGAAAGATGTACTGAAGCAAAACTCAGTTGATTTCTGCAATATGCCATTCTGTAAAGTCGAACACAAAGAGTTGCTGGAGCATATAGGAAGCATATAGCATAATGCAATATACTGGTGTGGAAAAAGCAGGTCTTCTCGCATGCTGGTGCTTGGCTTGTCATCTTTAAAGCACGCCAGATTTTTGTGCGGAGCTCTGGGAATGGAGCCATGTTGCTGCTCTAGATTTTGTTGCTGCTTTGGTCCCTGAGCTTATAGCGAAGGTGAGCCAGGAGTCACCCTCACATCTGACATGAAGCTGAACTGTTGCTACACAGCAAATAATAACATAAAGTTTTGCCCAAGACAGAAACTTACATATTCTCTGTATTTATATTTTTTTAAAACTGAACTAATACGGGTTTGTGAGATAAAAATTTGAAGGTGTGAGAAAAGCATTTGCTCTTAAAAGAATGTATCTCCATAAAAATACCTTTAGAATCGCCTAATATGTAAAAGTGTGTAAGCCCTGCAGTGTGTAATGTCAGCGTTCTCCTTATAATTGAATGAAATTGGTGCAAATGCAGACACTACATTTTTGCTCTTTAAACTTCTTTAAACAGTTTTAGTCAAATAAATGTCATAAAAGCTTCTGGTGTGGCTAAGTTGAAAGATGGGAGAGGAAAGACAAAAAGTTCTGACACACAAATCTGTTTTCACTTTTTTGATTTAGTCTTTAATCTTCCATTTTTTTCTGAGATCACTGGATTATTTACACAATTATTGAAAATAAAACCATGTGAGGATTTTGGAAAGAAAAGTCAGTCTTTGGTGGAGTTGTTGACAACTTATAGACACTTGTAACATGACCCTGACAACACGCTGCCTTTTGTAGGGTAGAAACGGAGGAGGAAAAAAGCTAGCGGGCATTTGTTCTAATCTTTAACAGTCATAAACTTGTTTTTTTAAACATCATATAATATATTTATAAAGAAGTGGCGAATAAAGTAGAAGGAGTTTTATTTCTCTCTGGAATTTATAGGAGGTGGTTAACGTTTATTAAAAATGAATGAAAAAGTTTTACGCTAGAAAAATGTGTTTTCTACATTGGCAACTGCCAATGCAACTGGCAATGCAACTGGCCAGTTGCATTGCCAGTTGCACTATGCAGTGCAACTGGCAAATAGGTAAACAAATAAATTGATAAATAGTAGATGCTCAAGAAAATAATTCAGAGACCTATCAAAGTAGATTTCTCTCTGTCACTGTGAAAACAACTAAAACACTTTTAAAAGTTAAACGGATTTAAATTTGGAAGATGTGTTTATATTGGGGTTTAAAAAGTGGGACAGTTTCAAGTACAACTGTAAATAACGTAAGTTACTCCATAATTTCTAATTTCTATAATGTAATAGGTTACAAAACTAACCTTGTATTATTTTCAATCTGAGGCGACACAAAAAAAGTTAACGAAGTTTTTGACGTTGACGAGATTAACCGAGAGTCTCGCGAGAAGTGGTAGACTAGATGTCCACAGCTGTGTGAGAGTCCAGAGCGTGGCAACTGGAAGGAACTGATGTTTGTTGTCGTTTTTAAGTTAGCTTTTAGCACATAATATATTTAGGTGCTGCTCTTTAACGGTAGTAAATACATCTTTTTACTCGAGTGAGTGAGGATTTAGGCTATTAGCGACATGCTGAAGAGCTACGTGAAGCGTGTCAAGTCAGGTGAGAGTTTAAATAATGACTTATTGCCAGATAGCATAGCAAACGCTTAACAATTGCTGTCCTCAAGCGACCTGTTTGTAACCTATTGTAGGAGGTTTGCGTATTTTGTTTATAATCACTATGCCAATTTCTTATATTTTCTAAGATTTTTTAAACAATTTTTTGCCTTATGTCCTCCGTTGGTATCGTTTCTGACAATCTGCCGCCGCTTTATATCATTACCAAGTTGCTCAGTGGAATTTAAAAAAAACAAACTTTTTTGTGACTTCTTTTTTTTTCGCATAAAGTAGTACTATTTAAATGGCTAATGATTAATATTTGTAGAAATGGTAGAATTTGGCAACATAGGCTATGTCAAGGTCCAAATTTCAATGGAATCTGGAAAGAAAGTGTGGGGAAAAATTAATACATTTACAGACTTTACCTGTGCTAACAGTACAGGTACCACATTACGATAATGTGCTAAATCTTATTCAGGAGAAATCATTAATGTACCCTTTATTTCTACATGAGTTTATCATCCATCCATCCAATTTATTCATGACTGGGAACTCTAAAGATTTAAGTCTGGAGAAGTGAGGATTTTTGACATGAAAAATATGCAGTAAACTGCAGTTGTCTTCTTTTATTAATGTCTAACCACTAGTATTTGTGTCTTGCAGCTCTGAAACGGTCGTTTGAGGTGGAGGACACGGATACAACCACACACCCTTCACCTCTCTCTCGCCGAACCACCAACCCCCTCCGGTCTTCAACGTCCTCCACAACCAGCCAACGGAGCTACGACTTGAGTTCGCGCAACTCCGACTATTCCTCCTCCTCCTCCAGATCCACTGCATCCGAGTCCTCAAACCTACGATCCCCAAAGACCGGCATGAGGCGCATTGAGCTATCAGGGCGAAACCCTGATGCAGCTGCTTCCCGCCGGGCAGAGATTTCCATCGAGGTCTCCTCCAAACAGATTGACAGCTCGCCCAGTGCCGGCATTGCTCGCTTCGGCCTCAAGCGGCCAGAGGTGAGCCTGAGCAGTCGGAGCAATGCCCTAGACGGCACCTCAAACTCCATCTCCAGCATTACAAACCGACGAGCGGAGCTCAGCATGACTCGGGCTCAGGAGCCCCCTGCACCTCCCAGGAGGGCGGATAGCCAGCTGTCGTCCACACCGGTCTCTAGGATCCCTGAGCTAACCCAGAGAAGGGCAGAGCCCCCGTCTCCCAGCCTGAGCTTAGTTGACGGCGTCTCCAGAAGACCAGAGATTCCCGTCTTCAGACAACCGGAGAACTCTGCGACAGGCAGCCCTGTAGAGAACAACAACCACCCACCACCTGCACCCGTCGCCCCACTGCCAACCCTGGCAGAGCCACGGGTGGAGAAGGTGCAGTCACCTGTCGCGGAGCAACCCACAACACGACCAACGGACAGTGAGTAAACTCTATCTACTCCATTTGCTTTAAAAAAAAAAAAAGCTTGCTTTGTTGTTGTTGAACATGTTTGTATTTACTTCTCAACAAATTGTTCCATTCTGGAACAAAAACTTGCAACAGTAGTGAATCATCTCAACTTTGACACTGACTTTTCCTGTTTATGGGATTTTATTACACAATCACACGTTTGAAATAAGTGACAATGCTTTAAGATTACTGCTCTTCTTTTGTGTAGAATAATCACAAAGGAAGATGAATCTGTGAAGTAATGACAGAGTCAAAAAAAAAAAAAGATTAACTCTGCACCCATGTGCTTGTCCACTTATGCCGTCTGCAAATGTAGGTCAGTGGGGTTGGTGATGAGAAAAACAGGGCTGGAAAGAAAGAACTGCAACTCTAAGAGCTGAAAAATGTACAAAGCCAATTTTCATTTAATAGTCACATTTAATTTAAAACCACTTTTTATTAGCTTATTGTCCTCTCTTTTGATTTCAAGAAGTTATGTTATTTATATTTTTTTTGCTAAAATTAGTTTTATTTGTGAAAGTACTGTTGCTTTAGGAAATTTATTTGCTCACTACTTGCACCACTTTTTTAAAAATAATAAAATCAAATGTGAAATGTATTTTTTCTTCTGAAAGGCAAACAGAGGCACATACTTTAAGTAGGACATCATGTCAAAATGAGTTATTTTGTGTGATGGTTTTTTTTTCTCCCAAGTGTTGTTCAGTGGTCGCCAACTCTATTCCTTGACCGCCACATTTAGACTCGTAGACGCATCACTGCTCCAACACACTTGAATCAAAAGACTGAATTACCTCTTTAACGTGCATGATGAGCAAAAGCCTGGTCATTTTCCTTTATTGATTCAGGTGGGTGGGAGCAGGAATGCGTCAGAAAGATGCAGGACAGTGGCACTTGAGGACACCTACACCTAGTAGGCCTCAGCACCTACTAGTTGCTTTTGCTGGTTTATCAATGTTTGATGTGTTTTAACTCAACTCTCTCCATCAATATTCATATCCTACATAGATTAATTGAATCTAATTTCTAAGTCTAACCAATAAAGTCCCAGAAAGATACAAAAAAAGTTGTTGATGGCGTTACAAATTCTGGAAAAGATTAAGGAGTATTTAGCAGGAGTGTTTAGGAGTATATGTGGTTTTTCATGGAACGTTAAGACATTTCATCCTCAAGTCAGTTGTCTTCGTTTTTGTTTTCCATTTTAAATATTTGTGTTAATCTGCAATTGCTTTAACTGAAGTACACATGTATTTTGCATGTTTAGTTGTGCAATTATAAGTAATATATGAGCAACGCGTTTTTATTTTCTTTCATTGTGGTGTTTTTTGTGATTAAAACAGCTAATGTTTCCTCTGCTGTTTGTTTTGCTCTTCTCCTCTCTGGAAACAGCTGTGTTCATACGTTGCCTCCTCTCGCTAAGTAGTATCTACTTGTGGGCGGCAGGGAGGTGTAACTTTCCAAATCTGGAGGTCATAAAAATTTTTTACTCTAAAATAGACTCCAACTTGTACTTTCTAAAGGTCTGTGTTGGCTGGTTCGTTCTCTGTCTTTCTGTGCTACACAGACATAAAATGTTCATTATTTCTATTGTCTCCCCTACTTTTCTTGAGTTTTGTAAGTTTTTCAGATGAATTAGCAAGCGCGTGGGGCATTCTGAACGTATGTAGCATGGCCTTGGGTAAGTAAAACGGAAGTCGGCAAGGAAAAGGGCGAGGATTACAGCTCCCATTACTGCCACATTTGGCTCGGATTACCACCTTCCTGCTCAGCTGAGCCTGTGGAGAAAGGCCCTGTGAGGAAGAGGCCAGGGAAGAAGGAAGAGACGTTAAAAACACAAGGTTTACTGGGCAGAAGGGATGAGAGGAAAAGAGATTTAGAGTACTGTAAAACCTCTGAGAAGAAAGTGACATTTCTTGTCGCTTGGTTTTTTTGTGAGATAGCAAAACAAACTAACTTTAACTCACTTGGGAATAAATCTGAACAGAATATTCTGTTACATCAGCACTCCCAATCATCTCCCAAGTGTTTGTTTTGCTTTTATTATTTGGGACATGTAGGGCTTTAAATTGGAAATGTTTTTATTTCTTCTTCACCTCAACATCCGGCTGGAAGTTGGTGGCTTGTGTCTGTGTGGTCCAGGACATATTTGTGTAAGGGCGTGTGTGATCTACAGCCAGGTTATAACAGCTTTTCAGACCTCTTGTGCGTCTTTGCTCATGTGCATACACATGAGTGCTGAGTCGAGGCCTAAGAATGCCTTGCCCAAGGGAGTAGTGACTAATGAAAAGGCTAAGTGATGTGCCTCTCTTTTCTTTGTGTGGTGAATGTGGAACAGGCACAAGGTGCTGTAATGACACGCTTTGCTTCGGTTGATTGGTTGACTGTAACCAAAAGCAGCTGGATGGAGCCTCGGAGTGCCTCTGCAGGATATGATCTCATGTTTACACACAGAAAAACACACACATTCATTGTGGATATAGCTCTTCTTAGTTTCCTGTCCTTTCACTTGAACTCTGATTTATTCAATCGTGGCTGCTGTTATATATTTTCGACCAAGCTTACTGTTTGCTGAGAGATCTTGATTTTGTACGTCTATATTTACTTTCATTTCACACAGGCCGCCCCCATCAATTTGCTTTACCAAAAATAAGCTGTATAGCTGATTTCCTTCGAGCATCTTCTCACTGTGGTAAACTTTGTAGTTTCATCCTTGTACTTAAAAGTATAGCTATGTCATAATAAAAGGCTCACAAAGCAGAGCACAGCAGAGTAGCAGCCCTGATGGAAACAACCTTTTTAACCTTTATAAAAGTGATTGTAGATGTGCAAATACTGTTGAGACAAAAGTATGATTGATGGAAATATTTGTCATTTTGCCAAGTTTATAATTCTGTAGTTTTGATCCTTTTCTGCCCTTATATACATCTGTATTTTGTACATATGTAGATCTGGATTTCTGGAAAAAAAAATATATATATTTTTTTACATTCATTTATATTTAGATGATGATTTATGTTAGTTTTGGCACATTACAACTCGTTCATTATGATGTGTTCAGTAACTGATATATGTACATATTTATTTAAATATGGCTTCACTTAAAGCTGCAGTGGGTAAGTTTCATAATTGTTTTTTTTGTTGAAACTGTCACTATATTCTTACAGTGTAATATGAGACAGATAATCTGTGGGAAATAAATTGCTCCTCTGCCTCCTCCCTGTGGTCCGACTGCCATCTTACATTCAGGGCATTTAACTACAACAGTGCTTATGTACTTGAGCATAAAGTAGCTTTACATTAACATTATTACATTATTTATAAGAAGGTACAAAGTGAGGGTCTGAATTTACAAAGGAGTGAATTGATCCAGTTAGCAACTACTTACTAATTTATTGTTCTGTAAAAGTAGAAATTAATGTGAAACATGAATGAGGGCAAACAAAATTCAGATGAATATTTACTGGGTAAATGACATTTAAAGGCTGAATATCCATAAACATTTTTCCAGGTAAAAAGTATTATGTCTGGTAAAACTTGGAGATTCATTCTTAGACCTGCTATTCCTCCTTTCCTCTGTATTCAGAGACTAATGCTAATGTCTAACTGACACAGACATACTGCAGCATAAGGGCTGCACTCTTATCTTTTGTTGGCTGTATTTGAGCATGTGCATCAGCTTCCATACAATATTTATTCTTGGTCAAAACTCATGATGGCACAATACCACAGGGTGTTGCATACAAAGCAGTTAATTCAAAAATTGTTCTTTGGAAGTTTACTTATCGGTTTTACAAAGGTGAACTAGATAAGCTAGTTACTGCTGTTGCTTTACACTCAACTAAACACAATGGAAAGAGATGCAATTGGCTTTCTAGTCTACTACTTTTTTGTTGATTACTAGGTTATGAAATTTTGCTAATACATTTGCATGTTTACTTGGATGCATGAAAGAAGGTTTTTTGTTTTTGCCTTTTCATCTGCTGCCTCACTTTTAGGTTGACGTACATTTTTCATGACTGTGTACTTCTCCTGGAACCTGCAAAACTAGACTGGTTTGTTTGTACCAAGTCTTTTTTTTTTTTGCTTCTCTCCAGTACATGCTGTTACTTCACTACTTGTGACTAAGCCTTTTATGTTTTTTTCCTGGAGTTATAAAGAAATAAGAATGATGTTGCCAATATTAAGAATGATTTAAAGGATGCACTGAAGATAAACTGTCAACCCACTTTTTAACCAGGCCAAACCTTAAACCTTGTTAATGTTGCAACTTTGATATTGTCTGTTTTCTTCAGATATTAGAAATTAGATTAGTGGAAAAAAAGGTCAATCCACACTGGGCTTGTGGATTGAACCCTCACTTTGGATGTTTTCTCTCCAAATGAGGTACATGCAGGAGTGTTGATTTGCATTTTATTGTGTTAAAGCTAACTTCAAAAATAATCAATGCAGGCAATTATCTTTGGATGGTAGTTATAGTTTCCATAAATATAACTCAATATATGTTCCCTTTGTAAGTGATCTCAGTTTTAATTGAGTTTTTCTTTTTTCACATTTCTTCCAAACAAACTTCAATATTAACTTGGCATCAGCACTTAGAGTGGAGTTCCTGCCCAATAAAATAAGCCTTTTCATCTCTGTTTTCTGCAGGCTGACTGCTTATTATTACTCAATATCTTATGATCTGTCTTATGCTGGTCTGCTGAGTGCCGCTCTTGTTTCTCTGGGTTAGAAAAACTGTGTTTTTGTTTTTCACTTAAACATAAAGACCTTTTTTGTCAGGTTCTTAAAGCATTACTTTTTTAAACCTTGACATTGATAAAATTAACTTGCTTACAATTACTTAAAAGATGAGGTAAATTCCTGTGCTTATTAGATGACATGAATCATCTGCACACTATCTGCTTTAGTGAACTTTGAATTCCTTAATATGGTGAATATTTTCTCTCTGACGTTAAGGCTCTTGCTGTGGAGTGGCTCACTTGCTCAGTATTTGGAAAAATAGCCTACTCAACTAAGTAGAATATTTATCCAATCACAGCACTACAGAATGATGTATGTTATACTTAACTGTGAAGTTAAAATATAAAATATAGAAGCCATTAAAGTGGAGGCACATTTTTATTTGAATTTATTAGAATTTAGATTCTGTTTTAAAGACATTTCCAGATTAATGGTGTCTGAATCCACATTATTGCTTGATATGAGGCAGAGGTGTGCTTTCATATGTACAGTAAAAATAATCTTTGTACAATTAAATCATATTTTTATAAAATATTTGATCAAAATATGTCACAAAAATTCTGTAGAAAAAAAGCATCATTATTACTATCAATAAGCACCACAGTTGCATGTTTTTTAAGATAATGTGATATGCTCCCTTCCTACTTCTTTCACATTATTTGCCACGATTAACAAAGAAAGACCCTAAAATGATAAAAATAATAATTATAGCTAAAATAAAACTGCAAATTTTGTGTATACAGTCTTGAGAGCAGTCATCTTGCATAACTGGGATATGAGGCATGTCTATGTGGGTGTCTTGCTTAGGTTGGTGAACTTCCTGGAAGTAAGTATTAGAGGTGTTTCTAAACGGTCCAGGTTGGGAACCAGGCTGGAAGTAAGTATTAGAGGTGTTTCTAAACGCTCCAGGTTGGTAACCATCAGCAAGTTGTTGGATTTCATGAATGGAGCGTTTCCTAAGTTGCCTCAAAAAGTAGGTGGTGATTCTGAATGTCTGTTCTGGATCATAGCTTGATCCGTGGTATTCAGATGCATCATAATGCCGAGTGATGAAGACTTGGTCTATTCGTCTGCCTTCATTTACTCTAATTAGGATTCGAGCGCTGTTCCAGGCAATATTACCTCTCCGGGAATTTACTACATAAGGTGGAAGTGGTTCTGAACCGGCTTGATGAATATTGCCAATAGTGTAGTATCGGTAGCCCCGAGGCAGAGATTCCAGGAGTCCCTCCCGATTTCTGTAATAATGGCAGCCATAATGACGTGAGTTTGGGTCAAAGGTCAGCTGGATGGTATTGTCGTAGTCGATGTCAACTTCGCAAGCAAACCAGTGAAGAAGTTCTAAGATATTTGTTTCATCAAACTCGTGGCAGGTCTTCAGATCATCGATGCAGTTCAGACTTCTCCGTGCAGCGAACACCGACGTCACAGTCAGGAGCAGAGCAACACAATAACTTGCAATTTTTCTTGACATCTTCTATTCCTGTGAATACATTTTAGAGCTTAAATTCTTCATCTTTGCCATACACTGTTGCCTTAAGGGTTTAGTACTGATTTGTGTTCATAATTTTAGAGTATACTAAAGCAGAGGCCCCCCAACACTGGTTCTCAGGTCTAATTATTCTGCCCCGAGGGCCAAAGAGGATCAGCAGGTGTGCAGCAGCTGGTGTTTTCCTGGCTTAAATAAATGGGTGATAACAGGCTTCTGTAGCAATTGCAAATACAGTGATCCCTCGCTATAATGCGGTTCAACTTTTAAGGTCTCGCTGCTTCGTGGATTTTTTTGTGCAGTTTTTTTCACAGTTCATTGTGTTCTGCGTCCTGATTGGCTAAACAGTCACCGAGCTCCTTCTCTACCTGTGTACCAATAACGTTACAGTATTTAAATATGAGTAATATAGATTGGCCATTCAGGAGATGAAAACTGAAACTTTGAATGCCTGCTGGAAAAAAAACTGTGGCCAGAGGCAGCGCAAAACCGGACCAGAGGCTCGCTTGACAAGATCCATCGCTCTGCTGTAGATACAGCTGTGAATCTCGTGGGGCAGTTTGGAGTAGACGCTTTAATGATATGACTTCAGATCACATTAAGCCCCGATTGATGAACACGCACATCTGCTGATCTGCAAACAGGTTTTGTTCTTTGGTTTCGATGTAGAGTATTTAATTATGCTGTATAATAATTGTAAAAACTAAAGGTAACTACTTTGCAGATTTCGCTTATTTCAGGTTATTTTCAGAACGCAAACCCCGCAAAAAACGAGGGATCACTGTATTTAAAAAAGGTAAAGCAATCATTGAGTCAGCTGTGTTGGAGTGGAGAACGTCTAAAACATGGAGAACTCTGGGCCACAAAGACCCAAGTTAGGGACCACTGGACTAAAGAAGAACAAGATTCACTTAAATTTCATGAGAAAACGGAGAATTTTAGCCATTCATTTTCCATTTGGTATAAATAATGTTTAAAGAGAAAAAAGTAGCATAACCTCGTCCATTTGAAATCTAACAGGAAATAAATCAGATTTGTAACCCAAAGTGTTTTGCCCTTAAAGAATTGCATTACATAAATGTTTAAATAGATCTCTAAATAAACCAAATTACGTTTAAGAGTAAATTTAAATCTTTTAAACAGAATAAAACAGAGCTTACCGGCAGCACTGACTTCTTCCTGGTCTTTAAAGCTGCGTCTGTGTGTGTTTGTGTGTGTGTGTGTGTGTGTGTGTGAGGGAGGGAGACAGGAGAGGAGGGAGTGTTCTCTCTGTTTCATTTTCTTGGTAAATGAAACTGAACAGGAAACTAAGTTTATGACAAGTAAATTGCTAATTAAAATAAAAATTATGACAGTTGTTGACATACAGGTATTCGTGAAAGTATTTGTTCCAGCTGAATGTCGCATTTTGTCGTTATAACTGGTACAAACAGACATGAGCACGTTTCACCGATCTTTCATCAGTTCTGGTTCATCACAGAATTAACGTGAAAATATCAATGTCTGCTTATAAAAGCCAAACTCGTCTTGCTTCCTCTTACCTCATGGATCTACTCCAAACACTGGCTCTGCTCCAGTGGTCTGCGAACAAACAAATTCGCAGACCACTGGATCAGCTGACCAGCAGCCTGAATGCATCTTATTGGGATTTTGTGACAGACCAACAGAAAGTAGTATATAATTGTGAAATCGAAGAAAGAAAAATATGTTTTTATTCTGTTTTTATAAAAAAAAAAGAAAAATGAATTCAGAAGTCACAACCTTTCACTGCTATTTTGACTGCAAGTCTTTTGCACATCTAGAAACATAAATGTTTGCCCATCTTTCTGCAAAATAGTAGATGTTGCACAGAAAGCATCTGTAAAACATAGATTTTCTCTGTTTAGGGAAAGACTTTGACCTGTATTCCAGAATTGTGCTCCACTTGTTTTTCCTTAAATCTGACCAGTTTCTCTGGCCTTGCTGAAAACAAATCAGTAATGTCATCACTAAGTTCACAGTGGGGGTGTTTTGAGAAATGGTAGTCTCCAAACAAATTTTTGCAAAACAAAGTTAATATTTGCTCCCAGAAATCTTCAAAGTGAATGATATTGTTTAACACTTTATTCTTGCTCGTTTAATTTTACAATGACACACTTCACTACAATACCCTATCACATAAATCCCAACAGAATATTTTGAAATCCATTGTAAAATGACAATGAAAACATTTATCTGGAAGCAATACTTTTGCTAGGCACTGTTAGTTAAATCACAGCATATATATGCTTGTCTTCCATGTTTTGGGTTGGGCACAGGTTGTTTGCATTTTGCACAAAACATACATACTTTAATAAATCACATACCTGGTTAGCTTTATTTTATTGCATCCAGTTTACCTTGGGATGGGGAAAGCACTCGAGTCTCTTAACTAAGCAAACATAGATCCAACTGCACACAATAACACACATTTGAAGCTTTTCATATGCACTTTTCAATTTTTCTCTTTTTTTTTAAATTATTTTTTTTGTCCTTGTGACCTTTAATTGACAGTGAGTTGACAGGCAAGTGGGTTATGAGAGAGGTAGAGGACATACAGAAAAGATCAACGGACCGGGATTCGAACCTGTGACGGCCGCATCAATGACTGAGGCCTCCGTACATGAGTCACATGCTCTACTGGCGGACCACACTTTTCAGTCTCAACAACTGTAATGACCATCACATCCAAAATGATTAGGCACTGAATCTAATGTCAAGTTTCATTTTGATACATGAAGATGTTGTGTAGTGTATCATAATGTGCAATAAGATTTTACAATCAAAAGCACATTTTCTCAGACAAATATTGCTTGTCATAAGTTTTTTTTTACACATTTTGAGTGTTTTCATCATTGGTATATAAAAGCACTGCATTTACTGTTTGGTTTGAGCAGTGTATGAACAAAAACAATTTTAAGGTTTTATTGGCTCTAGTGGCCTTTATTTGATAGTTAATTGACAGGAAAGTAGGTAATGAAAGAAGGGAGAAGACATGTGGCAAAGGTCACCAGTCCAGGAATCGAACCTGCGACAGCCGCGACTAAGACCTCCATATGTGGGTTGTGCTTAACCCCTGCACCACCACAGCACACCCCCTCCCCAGATTGTCAAGCAAAAAGAGGTTTTTCATCTTATGCAAAAATGTATGAAAAATTTTGGCTTAATTGCTGCAATGTGGCTGTTGTGTTTTAAGCGGACACCATACTTAAGACTTTGCATTAACGATTATTCAATTACTAAAGTAAGACTATTATCTTACTAAAGTAAGACTATTATTTGAATAATCGATTAATCTCAACCAGATGCATTGTATCAACCCTACTTTATTTATTTGCATTACCTAGGAAAATCATTAGCATAATAAAAAATAGTCCTAAGAGGATACAAAATTTGCCGAGGACATCATTTTCATCCGTTGTTCTTGGGTTAGCTTGAGGTACATGGTTATGATTAGAGTAGAAGAATTCTTGCGGATGAGTAGATGTGTTAACAAAGTTGTTTCTCTGGGTACCAGTGTGACCCAGTAGGATTTCCGAAATGGGCCGTCCTCTGAATTCTCGTAAAAGGTTGGTAGAGATCTGGTATGTGTGATTTGGGTCATAACTGGTGCCATTATATACAGAAGTGCCACAATGCTGTGTGATGTAGATTTGTTGTATATCCCATCCCCCGTTGTCTTCTGTGGCGCTAAATATGATCCGACCTCTGTTCCATCCTATGGTCCCAGTTCTGGCGTTTCGTACATGAGGAGGGAGCTGTGTTAACGAGTCTTGATGAATGTTTCCAACTGTGTAGTATTTGTACCCCCGAGGAGGTCGATTCAACATCCCTTCGAAATTCCCGTAATGATGTGAACCATATTCAGACTCTGGTTCAAAGGTCATCCTCACGTTACCGTGATTGTCAATACTGACTGTATTGGCAAACCAGCGAAGCAGCTCTAAAATGTTGGTGGGCTGAGGAACATATCGTTTTATTTCACTGATGGAGTTGAGAGTTTGTTGTACTGCTTGTGCCGAGGTGAGGGTGAGGAGCAGAGCTACACAGAGACTTGGTATTTTTCTAGACATCCTCGGTTCCTGTGAAGAAATTTCAGATTTGTTATTGTTTAGCCATGGTGTGAATTATTTCTTCATTCCTGTGTATTAGGATACACCCAGTAAATAACTCAGAGCAGTGTAATATTTAACCATTCGAATCATAAAGTATCACACCTTTGTAGTTATAGGCACCAGACAGAAAATCTGTCTAAAACTGGTTTAGCCTGTTGTTCTTATTTACTAAATGGAGAGTCTAGAATGAGCATTTGAGTTACTGAGTTATCTGTTAGAAAATATGCTATAAATGTTTTACACTTCTACAGTAAGTAGCGTAAATATATTAAACATGAAATCAATAGCTTTTCCCCCCTAGAATTTACCTAAATTTATTTTAGGGTAAACAAGTGAGAAGAGAAAAAAAAACAGAATAAAATGGATGTAATCTAAGTATATTTCCCTCTTGCTTTTTTGTATTTACATGTTAGGTACTGATAAGGTACTATGAATAATATGCAGACTTGTGCTAAGCCCACTGAATAAAACCTCGAAAGTAAATCTCAAATGTACTACCATAAATCTTAAATTATATTTGCTGAATTTTATTTTATGCAAAAAAACAAAAAAAAAGAAATTTTTACACACAGAAGTATACTTACTGTGCACGTCTAAAAAATAGGAAAAGTGACAGTTCTCTCTTATAATGGTCAATATAAACGTTTTCTTAAATTAAAAATTTTCCATTATTATAAGAGATTTTTGTAGAATTGGGATGAAGTCTAATGTGTGCAGCTATTATGAAATATACTAGATTTAAAAATGCATTACCAGGAAAGTAACAGAATTGCATCTTCTAAGTTTTCATGTTTAGAATATTTGAATGGGTTTGTTGCAGTAAGGACTAAATTTGTTTTAATGAGTAATTAAGGTAGCTTACCTGCAGGTGCTGCCAGGTGTGCGTCTGGGTGTGTGATCTGTGGTTGGGTTAATGCTCTCAAAGGCAACAGTGTCCTAGGAAATATGACTGAAGGGATAAACCACAGAGTTCGTTACAGTGGGTGGGACCAATTCTCAAAAAAAAAAGAGAGAAAAAAACAAGTTATCTACAGAGGAAGTTCCTACTTCCTACAAAATACAGTTCTACAACTTTTGTGAACCTGTTGATTAAGTATGTTGAAATTCAACAGTTGAACAAATTTATTCATCATGTTTCTCAGTTGGCGTGTCAGAATGCAAAGATATTTAATAACTATGTAACGTGTTTCAGAAGCATTTTGTGTGTTTGGTGTTCAGGTATATTGTGTTTAGTTTGTGGCTAAAGAATCTTAAACATTTATAATCATTTGATAAAATCACATAACAATTTTACAGGCATTGTGCAAGTTCACAAGAACTAGATGAACGTAAGATGTCGACTAAAAAAAATCTTCCCTCCATCTCTGTCCTGACAATCAAATGTTGTTGCTATGTTTTCTAAAATACAGTGAAAGTTTAGTTTAAAATCCATTTGTACAATCTTTATTTGTGAACCTGTTGTGTGATGTACGTTTTAAAAAAAGACATGCACTATATTTGCATTGAAGTGCAAATTTATTGCTTGTGGTATCAGTCTACTGTAACCAATCAGATCAGTTGTGGCATAGTTTTTGAGTACTTGCAAAAAACTTGTAAATATCGTTCTATTTTTCCAATGTTCTCTGTCCCGGTCGAAGCCTGAAACAATGTGATTTGTGAACTCTTGTTTTGAAAAGAAGTGGCATATAAATATGAAGGAGGAAATGCATATAAATGTTCCCCTGACGGATGCGAGTTGACAGTGGCTGATACGCAGAGATCCCATTTTATACCTGGAGTTGGGCATGAAACAGTCAAAAAAGTGAAGAAATGTAGCTGGGTTTAGATTTTAGTTTTTATTTTTTTTTCTTTGGTTGTTGATGCCAAAATTTCCACTGAGTACATCTAAAAACTATGCTACATATACCATCAGTAGATGAGAACAACTGACTCGTAACATTTTTGTTTAAATCAGTTCATGGCAACAATCCACTTACACCTGGTAAGCTTTAGGCGTCAATCATATGAAACTGGTTTAACTTGATATTTTCTTATCTGCTCAGAGATCCAACAACCACTATGGAACGGTTTTTCTTTGACAGCACATCAACGGTATGAACTTGATCTTTCCAGTCAGAAATATGTGAGAAAAGTTACGTTACTATTTTAAGTTATTTCATGTTCGTACTCTTTGTAATCCCACTGGCTGCAAATGATGGTGTGTAATAATGAAATTCTCCAGGAAGTCAGGAAATAGTCTCCCAGTGACCCTGTTTTATTGCATTTTGCGAACACCTCATTTTGGGAATTGCACTCAAAATATTTGTAAACATCTTTTCTAATGCAGGCAAGTTTGGTTTATAACAACTAAACTAAACTTTGCATAACAACTATGAACTTGGTCATGGTCATAAAAGTTACTGGTATTAACTTTTTATTAATTAATTAATAAATTAATTAATATTTAATTAATTAATTAACCATTATTAAACAACCATTAAAATAAACTTTCTCTGTCATACTTAACATGTAGGGTTTTATAAAAACATGAAGTGTCTAGTTAAATTTATCAGAACTAAAATTTAAAGTCAGTCTTCAGATTTAATTTGTGTAGTTCAATGAGTAATTAAAGATCTTACCTGTATAAATAGTCAGTTTCTGATTCAAGCTTCAGGGACAGCAGTCATTTCTTACTTTCCTTAATCTAGTGATATTACACCACTTGTAAATGCTTTTATAGTAAATGTTTGATCCTCCCCTGTTGTGTTTTGAGTGACGGTGGAGGCTCGCAATTCAGAGGAATTTTTTACTTCTAAAAATAACTTGGTCTTATTAGCGCTGCTAAGCAGTGACTTAATATCACCGTCTTCATTTATAAATGCTGATTTTATACACAAACATTGTTCATGAGCAAATCTTACACTTCTGAACAGCTTAAGCAGTCTTACAATTTAAACACCATTTTAAGCTTGGTGACAATTACATGATTTTTATAAGCAGGCTGTGTTAAGCTTTGTGCAACACATGAATGGCTTTAAGTAGGTTATGGCCAATATTAAAACAAACTGGGTCTGTGTAAAGTTTTTTTTTTCTTTAATGTACAATAGACTCAGTAAAGAATTAGTTTTGAGAGAAAGTTGGTTAAATTCTTCTTTCAGCACAAACAACTGATCATTACTTTGTATTTTTGAATTAAAAATCTTGGTGAAAAATGTGTTCAAATGCATAAAATGAGAATCTTGTGACAAAAGTAGGAGAACCCAAATTTTCCAAATGACTTCAGAATGGTACAAAAATGTTTAATTATATGACGTCTATATTAAGGTTCTTTGTACTGATCTCTGGTAACCTATAAAAAATAAATCCTGGGGAAACTACTGAATTTCAGGAAAAGAACATTGTAGAAACTTTCATATGAAACTTAGGCAAGTGCAGAAGTAATAGCATTTACTTTACAAAGTTGTGTGGGAGAGTTCCTTACATATCCTGTAAAACTGGATGTATGTTTGTATTCTGCATTCTTACCACCACCATCTCATGATCTATTTTTGTCTCACACCATGCAGCTTTTTTTGTGTTAGATAGAACATGGTCATGGATACGCTATGCTTGTCATAAAATACCTCTTAGATCACGTGTACAGTTTATATGAACACTCTTGCTGTCAGTTATTTTCTAGGAACATTTTGTCCATTGTGTTTTTGTGGACAAGTAAGACGATTTGTTAATTAATCTATCAGTGTTTCCTGTTTTTAAGGTGGTTTGTTTCCATTTGGAAACAAGTTGTTATATTTTGAATAGTCTCTCTAATCCAGGCGGCGTTCCAACCAGTATTACTCTTCTGGGAATTTACCGCAGAAGGTAAACATGTTCAGTGGCTTAATTAGTCTTGCCTTACAGGTTGTATCTCAGTACCTTAATTGAGATCAGGTAATAGTGACCTGAACTCACTATTACCTGAAGCTACCTGGGAGTTCTCTATGAAATATCATAGTGATGGTGAACTGGGAGTTCACCAGTTATGGAGCTTTAAAAGTTCAAGAAATGTATTGCTAAAATAGAACTGCTGCTTTTTTTTTTCCTTTTTTTGCAGTTTAAACTGTACCTTCATGTTTATCTAGCAGCGTTTTAAAAATAAACACTGCTAAAAAGATCAAATAACTTGTAGACATTTTATTTTTGAAAGATACATTTTTATATTGCAGGTTCTTTTCACAAACACAAATCAATCCACATACCTTTGTTAGCTAAAACAATCCACCTCTGTAGTAAGAGTGACAAAATGTAAGCATAAACACGTTATATCTCACAAGATTATAGCAACTGATTAATGGATTAATGTGTTGAAACGAAAGTCCCAAGAAAGTATTTTATTCCACAACCATAAAACATTACTTCTGGGAATTTACTGCAGAAGGTAAACATGTTCAGTGGCTTGATTAGTCTTGCTTTATAGGTTGTATCTCAGTACCTCAATTGTCTTGAAAAAAGTAGTTAAATCCAGAAAGTTGTTGTGATTTAAATTGTATTAAAATATAATTTTAATACAATTTGGCAAATCCTCATACAAATTCTTAAAAGAAGAGCCTCTGAAAACTGTACAGTACGAAATTTGATAGTGAACTTTTAAAATGTCCACTATCAACTGGATAGTGGTCATTTAAACATTTTAGAAACATATTGCAACATTCACACAAATTCTTTCAAAGCTTGTAATTACATTTATAGCACATTTAGATAAAATTCACACTGATTCCTTTATCACAAATATAGTTTTTCAGGCAAATTCACATTTACGCACTTTTCTTTATTTTGATTTATGATTTTCTATATTTTTTTCCATTGGCAAAACATCATGTTTACAGTTCTGTTCAGTGACTGGAAATATTGTCTGATTTGCAGTAATTCATAAGAATGACAAAACCAAAACAACAGATCAAAAGAATGGCAACGCAGAATCTCATCAGAAAGTCATCATTGTGTTTTGTATTTGAGTTATATCAAGTTTCTTGGATGTATCGAATGGGAGATCCTTGTGGACGGGTAGAACCATTCCCTCTCTGGACCTTCTGCCAAGTTGTTGGATTTCAGCAATACTCGGACATGTCACTTCTGATATCTGGTTTTCCAGACATTTTGACTGTTTTTATCATTGATATTTTGAAAGCAACACATTTACTGTTTGGATTGAACAGTGTCTGGGTAAATAGGTATTATTTACCTCCAATACTTAGGAAAACAGTGATAATACAGATACAAATACATAGTGCCACAGCCATACACACGTTGAACAGGGAACCTTCATCAGTTCTTTGACTAGACTGAAGACTGTGCCTGTTAGAGTAGGATTGTTGCTGATAAGTAGATCTGTTTCCAAAATTGCTTCTCTGGGAGTAAATGCTATGCTGTTGGATTTCCGAAATGGGCCATCCTCTGAATTCTCGTAAAAGGTTGGTGGTGATCTGGTATGTGTGGTGTGGATCATAACTGGTGTCATTATGTACAGAACTGTCTCTATGCTGTGTGATGTAGATTTGTTGTATATTCCATCTCCCGTTGGTTTGTGTGGCGCTAAATACGATCCGAGCTCTGCTCCATCCATCGGTTCCTGACCAGGCGTTTCGTACATAAGAAGGGAGCCGTTCTGATGAGTCTTCATGAAGGTTACCAACTGTGTAGTATCTGTACCCCCAAGAAGGTCGATCCAATATGCCTTCGTAGTTGCCGTAATGATGTGAACCATATTCAGAGTTTGGATTGAACGTCACCCTCATGGTACCATAATGGTCAATATTGACCATATCGGCAAACCAGCGAAGCAGCTCTAAAATGTTGGACTGAGGAACACAACGTTTTATGTCACTGATGGAGTTGAGAGTTTGTCGTGCTGCTTGTGCCGAGGTGAGGATGAGGAGCAGAGCTACACAGAGACTTGGTATTTTTCTAGACATCTTCGGTTTCTGTGAAGAGATTTTAGATTTGTTATTCATCCATGATGTGAATTATTCCTCCAGCCGTTGTTTTTAGGACACACCAAGTAAATAACTAAAAACAGTGTAATATTTGTTTAGGAATGCTCCTATCAGGTTTTATGCTTCCAAAACTGATACAGATCACCCATGAGTGCTGATCGCAAATGCTGTTCACATAATCGCTGATAATTTTTTGATTTAGGTATATATGCCACTGGCTATGTGATCTGGCAAAAAGGAACCATAAAATCTCCTTAATTTATACAGAAACATACATAAAAGTTGCAGAGACAATGCAGCAGATATTCAGTCCAAAAAACAACTGAAAAACCTGCCATATAATATTTAACAGATTGAAAACGGTAAAGCTCTCAGGAGCTCAAATTGCACAAAAATTAAAATAAATCTCATAACTTTGCCTATATCAAACAATATCTAGTAAAAGAGAAAATATTCAAACTAAAATGAAGGTTGCATTCAAATAAACTATCATAACGTACTAAATAAAAACTCTGTGAGGATGGCTAATTGTTTTGTACGTGAGCAAGCTCTTCTGCAGATTGTTAAAGCATGATTGACAGCGTTAGGCCTCCCCCAACCTTCCCATTGGTTCTGTCAGCTATAGGCAACGGACAGAAACCCCCCCCCCACTAAACTGGTTTAGCCTGTTGTTCTTACTTTCTAAATGTGGAGTCAATTCTCAAAAAAAAAAAAGAAAAAAATCTTCCTCATCTTCCAAAAAGTTGCAGCGTGAGGGAGGGAGTGTTCACACAGTTTCATTTCACTGGTAAACAAAACTGAAAGAACTCAAGTTTGTGACGGATTTAGTATTATTAAATAATATTAAATTATGTGTGCCAGCCTAATGTGGATAAGGCTTTTTTTTTTTTTTCCACGTAAGGTGGATTCATTATATCTTTGATTTAATTACCACACAATGTCCCTGATCAGTTGTCATTGTATTTAGACCAAGGGAAATGTAGCTATTTGTGCAAAAAAGTAACATCACATTTATTTTAGTTTTATGCCCTGTCTGCTCACCACTGTACAGTACAGAATGATTTTACTTACTGTAAAAATCTGTTCTGTTTTTTTTTTAATACACAATTTCTTGAGGTTTAATTCTTATATGTGGAACATAACCATACGTGTAAAGTGACCTTGGAGTTCGCTATGGAAATTCATATGACACCGTGTTCAGTGTCATAAATGCATAAATACAGAATAGTTAATTAACTAAGCCAAGATCTACTGTACCGAAAAATACCCAAAACTCGATGACTTAAAAGTGCAAAAAAATAAAAACAATTCTTAAAATACAAGACCTGCTTTTTTGTTTTCCTTTTTGCAGTTTAAACTGTATCTTCATGTTTATCTAGCAGTGTTTTAAAAATGAGCACTGCTAAAAAGATGAAATAACTTGTAGACATTTTATTTTTAAAGAGAAGTTTTTATTTTGCAGCATGTCGCTGCAGGTCCTTTTCACAAACACAAATCAATCTACATACCTTTTGTTAGCCATCTAAGCAGTGAAAATGACAAAATGCAATGTAAGCATAAACGGATCATGATTATAGCCACTGATCACTGTGTTGAAATAAGTCCCTAGAACCAAAGTATTTTATTCCACAACCATAAAGATATCACTCATATAGACTTTGTCCACCTTTAAAAACTGTGCAAAGTCTGTTTCCATTTTTCTTTTTGAGACACAAAGCATCCATTCTTTAACATGCGACAAATTCCCGATATTGTGATCTATTTTATTTAATTACATCCAGTTTCCCCAGCTAACAACAGAAGAAAACACCTAGTTAACTAAATAAATTTTTATATTCTCCTTTTTTATTGCACCATATCTGTCAAAGTCTTTTTCTGATCTAATGTGTAATTTTTACAACTAATGCTAACAACAAGTTAGGTAGAACATGATCATGGATACGCTAAGTTTGTCATAAAATACCTCTTATACAAAATATACATTTTATATCAAGCTTCTTGTTGTGCAAATTGTTTTCCTGGAATATTTTCTCTATTCTGATTTTGTTTATTTTTTGGAAACAAACAAAGTTGTTATATTTTGAATAGTATCTCTTGTTAAGATCCAACCAGGCGTTCCAACCAGCATTACTCTTCTGGGAATTTACTGCAGAAGGTAAACATGTTCAGTGGCTTGATTAGTCTTGCCTGACAGGTTGCATCTGAGTACCTTAATTGCCTTGAAAGAAGTAGTTAAATCCAGAAAGTTGTTGTGATTTCTTCAGATTTAAAATGTAATTTTAATACAGTTTTGCAAATTCTCACACAAATTCTTAAGAGAAGAGCCTCTGAAAACTGTATAGTGCAAAATATGAAAGCGGAAATTTAAAATTGCGCAACATATTGCAACATATTGGAACATTTCACACAAATCCTTTAAAAGCTAGTAATTACACTTACAGCACATTTATATAAAATTTGCACTGATTTCTTTACCATATTCTAAAAATGACACATTTACGCGCACTTTTCTTTATTTGGGTTTAGGATTTTCTGCCTTTTTTTTCCCTTTGCAAAACATCACATTTACAGTTCTGCTCAGTGTCTGGAAATATTGTCTTATTTGAAGGAATTCTGAAGACATACGTTCAAAGCAACAATAACGATGATCACAAGAATGGCATAGCAGAATCTCCTCAGGAAGTCATCATTGTTTTCTGTACTTGGCTTATGTCGAGCTTCGTGGACATATCGAGTGGGTTGTCCTTGTGGACGGGTAGAAGCGTTCTCTCTGTGGGACCTTCTGGCAAGATCTTGGATTTCAGTAATGTTTCTCCGTCTGATTGCATGTAAAAGGCTGGGTGTGATTCTGTATGTGTTATCTGGATCATAATTTGTTCCTTCATCGGAGTGCTGAGTGATGTACACCTGGTCTATTATCTGTCCAGGGTGAGGTCCTGAGTGTCCTTCGTTCACTCTGATTATGATCCGAGCTCTGTTGTTGTCATCGATATTCCTGTGGGGATTTCTTACGTAGGATGGAAGGGCGTCTGAATCGTCTTCATAAATATTACCAATTGTATAGTATTGATACCCCCACGGCAGCTGCTCTAGCATGTCTTCAAAATTTCCATAATGATGTGAGCCATAATCAGAGGTAGGATCAAAGGTAAGTCGGATGTGGTTATCAACGTCGACTTCATTGGCAAACCAGTGTAGCAGCTCTAAAATGTTTGTGTGCTCAGAGAGGTGGCAGTCGATCAGATCAGTGATGGAGTTTAGACTTCTCCGTGCAGCAAACACCGAGGTCAGAATAAGGCACACTGCTACGCAGAAGCTGATTTTTCTTGACATGTTCAATTCCTGTGAAGACATTTTAGAGCTTTCAGCTGTGAATGCTCGATACTTGATAGACTCATGCATGACATTTGATCTTATTTATGTCAAGACTTGCTGCCTGCAAGTTCACTTTAAAAAAAAACTTAACCCCTTTATGGATGTTTATGTCAAACCACATGTAAAATGTCTCTTACACATTTTATGCCTTTTTGTTATGGGGTTTTGCTTAGATTTCACAAACTTTTTTATTCTGACCTCAAGAATGTTTAGTTAGGATATTTGGTTTTGAACACTTATGTGAAGATTTCATTATTAAACTCCTAGAACTGAAAGAGGGTGGTACCGCCGTTTCACTATGATTGCATAAATTGCATAAAACAGGTTTGACTTTCAGTTTAACGGTTAGTAAGTAATAAAAGCCACAGTGATAAAACATTTCTAGGTCACTGTGCTGACGATGGCAGAGAGATTTAGTCAAATGATTATTTTTTGGTGTATGCCACAACTTTGTTCACAAGGGAAACATGTATAAAAAGGTATTAACATTAAAAAAAAAAAATATGGCAAAGAAAAGTCTCTCCAAATATCCACAATTTATTCGTTATTAAAATACACATCTGATTGGAATAATTTAAAAACTTGCTCTTAACACCAGAAAAATTTAAATTTAAACCGCATTAAAGGCATTTCTAAACATAAATTAAGAATTACCAAATGTATCGATTTTGTTATTTGAAAGTATCTTTGTACACAAATATGGCTACATAAGAAGAGGAAGTTTCAAAAAGGAAGACTGTGCGTCATTAGTTGCGATATAAAACTTACAACAGCTTATGTCCAAATCTTTCTTCTTATTTCTAGAATGTTTGTAGTTTTAGATATCTATTGCAGTTGAGAATAACTCACTGTCTTTCTGAAATCAGAAGTTAGATGAGCTTACCTCTGCAGTAGTTTGCTTCTTTAGGTCTCTGGTTGATTTGAATCTGTGAAAGGAGGTTGATTTCTTTTCCTTTTTTCAGATTTCCGTTTCATGAAACCTTAAACTTGGGTAACAACCCACATTGAGTTACCATGGCAACTACTTAGTAGTAGCTTTACTTACAAAAAATGCTTCCTGTATTCAGAAAAACTTGATAGTCCTTTGTTAAATGGGATCTGTTGATGTGCCAGCAAACCAGTTTACGTGTTTTCTCCTGAGTTGTACAGTGATCTTGTAGTAAAGTTCAGCATGAAAATGCATTAAAAAAAAAAAAAACTTTTTATAGGCACTTATGTATCTTTATTGAAGGGATTTTTATGAAATGGGAAGACAATGATTTTTCAAAAGATTTTTAATAATTTCAGTAAATATAGTGCTTTGCTTATGATCAACTGATTGTTTTTTTTTTTTTTAGAATTTTTAACAACACAAATCAAATGGTGGTTTATTTAAAACCTGTAAACAGTAACACATTCTAAAGCAGAGCATACAAACTCCCTGTCACAGAGATTTAGCTTCTGTTACTGTATGCAAGTTCTTAAGTGAACTGAAGAAAACATAATTAATTTTTATTCATACATAAAACACACATTATGTACTTTGTCTACTTCACTAAATTTATGTTCCATAATTTAAGATGGCATGGCCACTGAACTGTTTCACCATGACTTAATGAATAGTTTCCACACATGGCTTAACGTACACTATATAGCCAGAGATATTCACTCACCCATCCAAAAGATTGAATTCAGGTGTTCCAGTAACATAAATATCAGTCATCTAGATATGTAGATTAAATTTAAATTGACTTGGCTTAACATCTTGTTTGGATATCCTTATATTTAAATATACATCAATCAAATAAACATCAATAATATATATATATATATATATATATATATATATATATATATATATATATATATATATATATATATATATATATATGTGTGTATATATATATATATATATTGTCATACACAACAAACACCAAATTACAATACCCCTGCAATATACCAGTAGCAGTCATAGCTGAAAAAAAATTGGCTTATTTAAGTACATTAAACATGAGATGTTTCACAAAATATCATCTTGGCAGCTATGAATTGATACATGGTCGCTATTAAATGTGCTCTGCTAGATAGCTACATTTCATACCTGTAAAAGCCTGTGACAAAAATAAGATTTAAAGATGAACAATAGCAAACATGCAAAATGTTCAAACTCTTTGTATTACTACTTGTTAACAATAGTTTTTGCTTACTAATGTATGTATAGAAAAGTAAAATAAAAAAAGATGTGGATTAGTTTTCCTTACCATCTGAAGCACTATGTTTTCATTTAGTTTTATTTTTCTTGCTCCTGTCTATTTTCTCATAAAGCCAAAGCTAATCCCTAAAGCAATACAGATAACGAAAATAACACAGCCAAACTACAATATTCTACAACATGACCAGTCTCCATCAACTTGGTTAGTGCAATTTGTGGAAGGAAGACGCATGTATCCATCTCTGTTAGAGGAAGAATTTCTCTGAGCATTAGCGTTCGATTCATTTCCAAACTGTTCTGACTCAACACTGTCATCAGATGGTTCCATGTCATAGGTGGAATGATCTCTTAGATCTCTTAAAAGGTTGATATTGACCCAATATGTGTGATCTCGATCGTAAGTCGATCCATGGCCTCCAGATGAGTCATAATGCTGAGTGATGTAGACTCTGTCAATTGACAGTCCATTTTCTCTGACTCGAAATACGATCCGAGCTTTGTTCCCTCTCTGGGCGTGAACTACAGAAGGTGGTAGGGGTCTTGATGTGTCTCGATTAATGTTACCAACTGTGTAGTATTGGTACCCTGCAGGCAGTTGATCTAATATTCGCTCGTCATTTCTATAAAGATGTGATCCATAATCAGACTGTGGATTGAAGGTCAGGCGGATGAAGGTGTTCTCAAAAGTAACTGTTTTAGCAAACCAGCGAAGCAGTTCTAAGATGTTTGTCTGTTTATACAGGTGACATTTGTTCAGGTCATCGTGGGTGTTCAGTTTTCTCTGTGCTGCATTCACTGAGCTCAGAGTAAGGAACACAGCTACACAGAAGCTTGTGATTTTTCTCAACATCTTGGTGCCTGTAAAAACATTTAAGAACATCAGTTTTCATCCATACTGTGAATTTTCTTTGTATGCATATTTACTTGAGTGCAAAGCTTATTGTCACAACAAAGTCACTGTTTTCAATTTTAATATTTTGGTTAATATATTCCAGTTATTGTGAAATTCATAAGATATTCAACCTTTCGACTGGAGTCCCACCTCATAAAATTGAAATTCCACACAGATTACAATGTGTAATATCCTGAAAGCAAGAAAAAAATGTGAGGTTATCACAAGTGCTACTGTCACACAAGACATTTAGTACCAGATGTTGACATAGACCTTTTTTTCTCACTTTCTAAGTTGGTTCTACTCATCTCCAAACCAACTTTTTTTTGCTGATGAACTGTCAATTTGTTCTTAAATATGCAATTTTTGACTTTTTTTTGTTTTTTTTTTGAAATGTGTTTAGTTCTGTAATATTTAGCATAAAACAGTCAATAGTGGCCTTAGGTTGAACAACGGCTACTGTACTTGAATTCTCCTATTGCTAACTATGGTACAGGTTGGTTTATGTCTATGTCACACATACCCTGGTGGCATGAATTGGAATAGTGAGTATAACAGATATTAATAGCATTTCTCAGCTTTGCAAATGTGTGATTTGTTTGCAATGTATATGTAAACTGCATGACGGACTGAGACTGACTTCAGTGCTTAGGAAGCAGTGACAGCAGCACATCCAGGATAGTGCAAGGCTGCAGCATATGTGGATAATGACAATTACCAGCTTCAGTTATTCTGACATAAAAATTGAGAAATTTGGTTTGATTTAACGTATGGCGGTGAGAAAAATGTCTTGTTTCAACTGCATTTACCTGTATTTCTATTGCATTATGTTCAAACATCCCACTACCCTCTGAGATTCTCTGACGATTAATCCTGAGCATTTTTGTTTTTAGTAGGCCGAGCTAAGAACTTATTGACGAGCTTTCTAAGATGCAGATCGTAATTAGCAAAGAAACTGGTTTGGCTTGTTATTTTACTTTGGCTAAATATAGAACTTTAAAAACAATTTTGAGCTATAGTCCATCTCTCAGGCATTCATTTTACATCTCAACAATGTATCAGCCCATTTTGATTGACTCCAACTGTGCCCAGACCTGATGTATAGTTTTTGTAGTAGACATCAGCATATCCACAACAAAAAATATACATCAGATCAGTGCTGCTGAGGAAATGATTTAGAATAATGTTGATAATCATAATCAATATAGTTTTCCACATTATTAGTGATGGCATTGCAATTACATATTTTCCTAACATTGAGCAGCCCTTGAAGAAATTCTCTAAGAATTGGTTTCTTAACAATTTGGGGTTTTTTGTACACATTATTCAACTGAAATTACATATTTGCAAGTGATTTTAATGTGAAAGTTGTTGATTTAAAGTCAAATATTGAGTTTTCACTTTCTATATCTTAATTTGTTAACTCCTTTATCCTGTCAAACAGATGCTACTAATATTTAACAGTTTTAGGTGGAAAAGAAAGATGTGTAGGTTAGTGAAAATAAAATTTACCTGAAAAAAAATGCATTTTCTATTAATTTTTCTTTATTTGTAATAGTCATACTTACTAATTACATCTAACATAAGGTTTCGATCAGCATTTTTTTAGTCAGTAACTTAAGTAGCTTACCTCTGCAGTCAGCTGTTGTCTGGTCTCTGATCTGTGTGTGTTTGAAGGAAGCGGTGTGTTTCTCTTGGTTGTCGTTTCATAGGAAAGAAAACTGAAGTGACGTATCGGACGAATTTACAACAGGTTGGAAGGACTGATGTCTATCAATGGAAAATTAAATCATCGAGAAAGGAATGCTGTTCTGCTCAAACTTGATTTCAGATTAAAAATATGTTGGACTATTAAAACATTTCTCTTGTTCAGAAATGTAGGGTTATTGTAAAGTATGTTTAATACTTCCCTAGAAGTTATTTTCAAAAGATACTTTTAATCTGACAAACGAGCCACATTGCATATTGTAATTTATTGAATGTGTCGTATTGATGGGATTTTTTTTTCTAGGGAGTGGTTGAGTAGGAATCGGAATTGTAGGTTTTTGGTTTTATTTTCAGTTAATGGAATAAAAACTGCACTTGCCAGGAATTGTTTTTTGGCTGCTCCGATGTCTCTAGCCTTTAGGTATTGTTGTTGCGCAAAGAGATTGGCGTAAGGAATATCATTAGTTCACAATAGATTTATTTGAAATCTTGATGCAAATATCCACTACTAAAGCACTATGACATATTAATATTTTACCTTTGTTCCATTGCTACTTTAAGAGATTAAACATGTTTTGTATTAGCTACTGTAATGGGTAAAAATGAAACAATGTTGCAAAACATGAGTGCCATTGTTGGTGAAATTCAAACTATGAAAACAATTTGTGACTAAACCTGTCCACTTTAAAGAATGATAAACCTCATCAATCAGCAAGCAAAACCAGAAAAAGTCTTACACACAGGTACTGATGTTCAAGTTCACCTTTCATATTTTAAGACCTGTTTCACTGCAACACCCCTAAATAAAATTCTCTAAAAGCCACCACTTGGCTTTTAGAAATAGCTTAGTTAGTAAATAAAGTAGCGTCGTTGCCAGCTAATTTACATCTGTATGATTTCTTACCTATATCCTCTCCTTTTCTGTGCTTACGTAAACAGTAATTAAACAGGTCAGTTTTTTCTTAAAAGACAAAAAAAAAATGCTTTTTCTTGCATTTGCACTTTAGATGGCACAACAATATTGTAATATAGGAGAGAGTATGTATGTTTGTATTTCACAATGCAGGTTGAATATTTTAACCACATCACCATTATTGACATCACTTGGACTCTTTCTCTCCATAATAATAAAAAGTCCTCACAGCTGTTCACTGTGAGATAATGTTGTTGTGTCTCCTTTATAAGCCTCACTCAGAGCACATTATGTTCAAAGAGGACAAAAGCCACTAGTTCCTCAGATATAGCGGTTTGCGCATAAGATTGCACAAAAGAAACTTATCTGGTGTTTGGATCTTCTGCACACTTCACTTCTGTACTTGTGGGCACACAAGCAAATACAGTGGTAAAAATAAGTTGTTTTTGCATCTAGTCAGAGAGCCCTGAAAGCTCAGTCA